AAAATATTTGCATATGCATAAATAAAGTTACTTTTAATATCTAAGAAGGCTTGTTAGAAAACTTTTGAATATTTTCCAAGAAAACCAAGAATTGAGGTTTCCTATTAAATTGTGCCTCTTTGGTAAGCAACTTGTATAGGTGGCCTATTTGAAGGGGGCAATCTCTGCTTGGAAGACACTGCAGTTATTCGCCAGCATTTATTTAAAATTGAAAAAAAAAAATCCGAGTAGAACTTCCTTCCGTCTGCTTCGCCAGCGAACTTTCATCCAAACGTGATAAGATTCATCGGAGCTTGGGTGCCACAGTGAATTCAAATTTGCGATAGTATTTACTCGGAGTGCATAACGAATATTGTTCTGATTTGCCTTTAAAAGTTGTTAATTCAAAAATTTTACTCTGGAAGCGGTTAACCTTTTTGTGGACACTAGGGTGATTGACTCGGTTTTTTCAAACTGGGTTTTAACCGTTTTTTTTTTTTAATATTTGTAGGTGATTTTTTTGAAACCCTGAATTTTTGAGTAAGCCGGATTTTTCCAATCGAATAAACCGAATTTTTACGTGGTTCATTTATATGAAAGAATACAAGAACTCTAAAATTCATTTTGTAGAAAATGGTACTACAGAAAATTACGTAAAAATAAAAGAAAACCGAAGGAAAGGCTTTCATAGTGTTTTTGCTTTTTTTTGGTATGTAGCAGCTTTCTAAACTCTGTCTTCATCATTGAATCGACTATGTATGTACATGTTGTCTTCATCCGACGGGTTTTGGGCCGTAGGGAGAGGGATATTAGAGCGGAGCTGATGTGAGTGAGCCTGTGGAGCTAGTGTCGTCGGGACATCTTACTTGAATTGGACTGAACAGTTTAACCTGCCAAAAAATGCAGAACGGAGTTGTGTTAAAGAATCGCGAGTCTCACGAAGCAACTTCAGCTGTTCGTCTGCGATAGATGGCGCTGTTCTCCGATGATGGAATTGACAGGCTGAGAGTTTAAGAATGTGTTAATTGCATCTCGATGAATGGCCTATCCATGGTAGACTACAGATGGTGTATGGATTAAGAAAGAAATTAACTTTTCGGATCACCACATGTTAAAATTCTTGCAACTTATCTGAGCTTTTAACTGCAGTTAAGCTTTTGGTGACAATGGGGTATAAAGCTTATTTACCTATTTGGGCAGCCACATTTCAGTTTTAGCCAGGATTTCAGACTAAAAGTAAGTGTTATTGTGTGGAAAATGTCTAAAATAAAACTAGTTTATATGGGTTTTCTTCATTTGAAAATCGGGACCGCTTTTTTTTAATTATCATTTTGCAAATATCACAAAAAACGGGTTTCGAGGCACGCTAGTGGACACTATGGACTGGCCAGACCATTTCTGGTTTTGAAAAGTACCTGTAACCATTCGACCCCGGCGGCTGCCTAGCAGCTCTGGTGGCAATACGAGCTGTGAGAATAATCACTCAGTAAGCTTCTAGTACCTTTCGGCATGCCGAATAGGGGCAGTAAAACGCTTAGCTAGTGGTATCCAAGAGTCATGGTAAGATGGGTTTAAATTTTATTTGACTCTACTTCCGGCAGATTCAATAAAATAGCAACCTACGGCGGCCAAACATTTTCTATAAAATCAGTTAGCCAATTAGAAAGAAGAACTAAATTTTTTCGAACAAAATCATATGTGTGAAAGTGTGTTAATGTGGCTTATTGTCAGCATAAATTACAGATTTTATAAAAATTTTACAGATTTTACAAATTAAACAGATTTTATACTGCCAAATACATACGTATGTATGTATGTTTGTATGTACAGAAACAAACAACAAATAATATTCATAAAGATAACAATTGCGCACCAATACACATGTAGGACACTAAATAAAATCACACAGCACATGAATTTCAAACAAATCGAAATCAATTGGTTTGTTTTCAAATTCACTCACCTATGCAATTTATTGGCTGCTAAGAGTTTTGTGTGAAAATATTTGGTGTTTATCAAGAGGACAGCAAAAATATAAATTTTATTCACTGTCTAAGAGTCGTGTATTTGATAATGGCTGTGCCATAGGGGTAGTTGGCTGATGGTGTGCTATTCGAGGCCAATTGCGCGGCAAGTCGCAGAAGAAAAATATTTTTTCAACATTCATACAACGTCAAGGTACTATTGAATTCCCTCTTGCATTTGTTTTGGTCTGTCATTGAATAAGGCGCTGTATTAAATAGTACAACCAAATAAGGCAACCAACCACGGCCAAGCAAAACGCTTCCAGGCGCTATTAAGCATTCAAAGCCCAACTACATCTCCCAGAGATTCATTCATGGTTTCTTTCTTACGCTTCGCTATCAGCGCGCTCTGCTGAACACATTTGTGGCGCGCATTCCAAGTGTGTGTTTGCGGAATGTTATTTTCCGAAATTCGACAGCTTAGCAAAATCAACAAATAATGCTTGCATGCAGCTTTCCATTGGACGCGCACGTATACACTTCCACCTGCATGGCATGTTTACAGATTTACGAGTATGAGGTGGGCGCGTTCATAAATATGAGGGATGTGAACTTGAGGCACAGCAAGTAAGCGGAAGAGGCGGTAAAGTACCTTGGCATAGACAGCAAGAACACAGCTCGCAAGATAGATAGCGTCAAAAACAGGAGGTTGGCGGCAGCGACTGCCACTGCCACTGCCGCAGCGCTGTACTCACTGTGCCGGAAATTATTTTTGCCGCTGCACGTACTCAACTGCCACCACACTAGTCTCTTACTTTTTGAAATTATTTTTGCGCTCCGATCGCGTTGGGGGAAGGTCGCACCTCCCACTGTTCTGTGTTTTTTCTTTTTGCTGGAGGCTGGTAAACAACTTTGTTTGGTATTTTTACTAAATTTTTTCTTAGAGTTTAGTGTGATCAAAAGATTTGCAGAGGTTTTCAGAATGAATTGAACGGTGTTTTATACGGGCATTTTTGACAACTTTAGTTACACTTTTCTTGTGGAGAAAAGCTCAGTTTGAGCTGGATGTTTGATCTGCTATTTCGTGGGTTCTCCATTTGCATTTGCTTTTTAATGTAGAAAAACACACTCAAATAATAATAAATTGATAATTTTTTTTACTTATAGGTATTACCTGTTTATAAATGTTGGTTTGTTTTTGCTATTACAAGACCACCAGTGTATACAAATATTTACATTTATATATAACTTTGCATGTAAGTGATGACATGAATATAGGCGTATTTTCCCATTTTATAGAGATCACTGTTCCAGTTAATGATCAACACCTGCCTTTGACGTCATCATTTCGGCAGTACTACTCTTAATTACATACAAATCATAGTGTTTATATGAAAACAGAGACAGATGTGATTGTACTTTTTATATTCAAAATTTCCTCATGAGTGCATCATTGACTACGTCATTCGCAGACACAACGGACAACATTTAAAGTTTACCCAAAATATATTTTTTCAATTTGCTGGGGGGCAATAAATTATACTCATAGTATTTTGTATTTAACTTTAAATTCGTCAGCACATAATTTTACTAGGTCATTTAGTCGGAAGTGAGTTTATGCTATACAATTTTCTCTTTATTTGGGTAGTCAACTCATATCATAGTGCAATAAATTTCAACAAGTTGGAGGTGATGGGAATCGGACCAAATGTTCTCGATTAAGCTGTTCAAATTATGAAAAAATACCAAAGGATCTGAACATTTTGGTTACATTTCTTGTATATACCAATGACAACGAAAAAATTTTTTTCAATTTTCAAATTTCAAATCACCTCAGAACCATTGGCCCACAACTGGAATTTAGTATTTAAAATAGTCCAGGGATTTAATTTTTCAACCGATTTGATTAATTTGCTCTTAAATGAAAGCTAATAAAATTTGGAAGAGAAATATTGAGCCCGATTTTTAATTGGTATTGGTCTAAAAAGAAAGAAAAAAAATTACACAATTCTTAAAATTTCACCAACATTTTCTAACTTCCATTTTTAAAACATTTCTGAGTATGCAGTTTATAACACATGAAATTTTAGTATTTATAACAAAGTGCAAGTTTGAATACATTTGAAAATCGCGAAACCGAAAAAGACTATCAGCACACAATAATTAAAAAAAAAAAAAAAAAAAGCATTTTTTAAAGTCTTCAAATTTGCACCTTACTATACTTAATTTTCGTGTGTTATAAAACTGTATGCTCAGAAATGTTTTACAAATTCATACCGAAACTTCAGAAAATTTTATGAAAATTTGAATAATTTTTTTAAATTTTTTTCTTTGTTTTAAAACTTTTATTAAAGCTGTTTTAGCTATATAATGGACAATATTTTAATCAAACACCAACAAGCAAGTTATAATATGAAAAACATATTTATATAAAAAAAAACAAATATTATCATTTTAACATTGCTGCTATTTTGTTCTATAAAACTAGAAAGTTGCAAATTAGTATGCTAATTTATTGTATTTTCTTGAATTTTACACAAAGTTTAGAAATTTTATTTCTGTGTTTTTTGTTGTAGTATGAACTATATTTTTCTAAACAATTAGCATAAGGAAATTACAATAAAAAACTTTTCGTAAGTTCTCTGCGCCAATACTTTTGTTCGGTTCGTCACTGTGAGTAGCAGCAAACAAAAACCTGAATTATTCGGATTGATCAGGTCATCATTATTTAGTTTTCTAGTTAATCAAATTAATTAGAATCTGATTAATCAAAAAGTAATAAATCGGGAAATTGATCATTTTAATTAATCGCGAACGATTTTCTTATATCAATAAATTAATTCGGCTACTATTAATTAGCACGTTCAATTAATTAATTAATCGCACACACATAATATGCCCATATTTTCTGGATTGTTGGACTGTTTCCAAATGCGGACATTGTTTTTAGTCTGGAGATAATAATGACATAGTTTTATTTCTTCAAAAATGGAAAGATTTTCTAGCCTGTAAGGTATTGTTGATAGAGAACAAAAATATGAAAGAAATGTGACTCACCTTTATCTCGACTCTTGGGCGTTGAAGGTGGGGCGGGTGTTATCGGCGGGGTTTTGCAATCATCACGAAATATCGGCGAACCGGGAACATAGCGATCATTCTGAAATTTAAAGAATAGTTGTAAATTATAAGGATTGATGTTAAGCATAAAATAAATTATAGGAGTAAATTTTAAATAAGTCTTTTCTTAAACCTGCATGATTTTCCTAAACCAAATTTTGCTTTCCATCTTACGCATTTCCTCACTTTCATTCCATCTTAATTACCTTTTAATTGTACATAAATACTTATATATAAATACATATACATGTACATGTCACCTTATCAAACAAATGTTAACCTTGTGATAAGGTATTCTATCTCACTTCGATTAACTTTCGCAAAGGTCTATAAAACTTCGCAAACAGTCAGTGCAACATCGTCGCTTACTCTTTGTGCAATTATCTGGCACATGTTGTCATGTTATTTACCTACACGACTGTCTGATAGGTGATAAAATCACCGTAATAAAAAAACAACACGACTTCAATTATACGCACGCCCTCTTCTCAGCCCTCTTAAAACAACCAAAGTATATGTACATACGTATGTATGAGTGTATAACTTCCAGCAACCCAGAGAAACTATGAACGCCTATGGGCTCAGCGGCAGCACTTCACGATGCTACGATGCTTCGTTCGATGTTGTTGACAGTCATTTTTAGTGTCAGTGACAGTATTGAAACAACGCTCAAAGCGCACAAGCAGTAAGCAGTCGTAACATACAAAAACAAAGACAAATACGAAAGCGAGTACAATTTTTGTAAATGTGAAATTGCCAGGAGGGACTGGTAACACCAACAACAACATTTCCAACAGGAAGTATAGCCGAACGTGGCATAAGTCCCGTAACCAAACTTTCAACATCAAATTTCGCTGCTGGTGAGAAAAAAAAGTAGGGGGTGTGTCACGAGAAGACCGTGCAGCTTGATGGAACGGCTGTCAAAACAAAAGACAACTGCCAAAATGTATTGCAGACCCAGCAGCTGCAATATAATCACTGTATTTTTTCTGATTAACATGCTGTTAGCGTTGCAGAGTACACGTGGTGAGTGTGGCTAATGAGCGTTGGGGTGGGTGGGGAGTATTAACGTTTCTGACGTTTTCTGAAAATATGTATCTCGGTGCGTAATGGCGATTTTCTTTAAATACTCGTAGTCGAAATTACTTATTCTTTTGGTTAATTTTAAAGTCTTAAATGGAAAAACCTCCTTTTTCTCTTCTAACTTCATCAAGGAGATTAACCCCTCTATTCTAAGGGTACATTCACACATAAAGCGGAGCGGATCCGAGCGAAACCGTTCCGAGTGGAGTGAAGCTTGCAAATTGCTGTAGCTAGATAAAAGTGTTTATACAGCAAGCTTTTTCAGAAGCGTTTTGGAGCTGAAAGCGGAGCAGTATTCTGAATTTTCTATTTAATTTTTCAGCTTCACGACGCTGCTGCAAAAAAGATATCAAACTAGTCAAATAAGAACAAAATTGTCTAGATAAAATTTAGCAGATATTTTTGCCGCTTTTCATTGACGGTAAGTTTTGTGGTATATTTGCAGTGTGAACACCTGTAGGTTTGCTTCGCTCCGGCGTTCTTCGCTCGGCACCGCTCGGCTTTTTGTGTGAACGCACCCTTACAGAATCACAGAACGTAGCTCATCAATGTGCCACAAAAATTCGATTTCAAGCGCAGGAAAAATACACAAAAACTTAAAAATTTGTGTTGTAGCGGTATATTTGAACCAGAAGTAAAGTTTGAGGAGCAGTATAAATCACAGCAGTGATAAGCCGAGGTTTGTGACTTTGTTAAAATAAGGTTTGTGACTTTGTTAGAAGGATCAAAGCCTAGGCCTTATCTAAATCAACAGTCGACCAAAACAATTTTTTTTGATTTTTGTGTATTTTATTCTTCCGCATTTATTGATATATCAAAGGCTCCATATCTAAACACATCGTGGCAATACATATCTTATAAGAACACTTTAGGTAAATTGCAAAGTCAGAATTAACATCAGTGTTGTCAAGTATAGCTCAAACAGCCACCGACGTAAAACCGTACGGCACGACGGCTGGCACGAACTTTCTTATGAGATGCTCGAAAACTCACCACCGCATTACGGTGACGTTGCCGTTGCTTCTCTCTCTCTATCAAAAGCAGTGGCTGGTTGAGCTTAAGGCCCAAATAGGCTGTAACATTACAAAGTAGTTTTTGTGAAAATTCCAAAAAAAAAATAAAATTGTTAAAAATAATTTTATTTTCTGCTAAAATTAATAATACTCTCAGTAAGACTTCACATTAGTGTACCGAATCATAGATGGATTTTCCCTTCCTTCCACTTACAGCTAGTAGTTTATAGCCCTTCAAATTAACGATGCCATTGGCCCTCCATAATGCTTTTGTAATCGCAAGCACTTTGCTGTTTGCCTTTTACACCTTGTTTTATTTAGATAACTTTAACATTTCTCTACATAAATACCTTTATAATATTCTTTTGGAAAATATGTATTCCTCTCCGATTTCTTGTGCCCTGCCAATTCCCATGAATTCTCTGTTGGATGCCAAATTAGTTGGCAGCCGAACGATGTAAAAGTATAATTTTGTTACGTTATTTGCGTGAAAAATTAACAAATTTCATAAAAGTTTTGCTACCTCTTCGATTTCAGCTAATTTTCGTTGATTTATTTTGGAGTGAATGAGTGTGTTTTTCATGCGTAGCACACGCGTCACCTCTGACACTCGTTTTACCAGAACGAAAAGTAGAATAGAAATATCATTGGCTATGATATTGCACATAAAAAGCATGAGAATTCTCTAACCACTTTGTAAGAAGAAAATATTTTGGCAAACATACTTAACCACAAGTCAGCAGATTTTCACGCGAATTACTGAATATCGAAAATGATTTCGTAGTATTATCTTCATTTGGATCACAAATACATATGTATATGTATGTACTTATAGTCAATAAATCAAAATAAGCAAACAGAGTGATGTTAGCAAAAGTTCTAAGCGAATAAGTTTGAACGAAAATAAATGGCAGATGGAAATAAAAAGTACTTTAAAACTGAATACCGTGAATTTGCTGTTGTGTTTATGGGGAATTGCAGGCATAAAGGAAATAAAATTCTACTGTTTGCCTAGCGCTCGCTGAGAGTACCAAATGTGCATAATGATGCCCATACACTATCAAGATAATCAAGCTATTACATTTGTAAGTACCGAATCCACAGCTCTTTTCATGTCGACCACCACCGCTGCAAAAGTACATCAGTGATTTCGGTGCCCAGATTTGGGGCTGTTCGTATATCGAACTTTTTGATTTAATTCGATTGGTGAAAGACCCGATTGGACCCAGAATTTTGGTATGCAGTGGTTAGCTAAGGCGGGGATGACCTCAAAAATTTTTAAAATTTCGAAGTGCCCATAGTTAGAAGTCATCGTCCAGCCGGTTACTTTGCCCGCTTTGTCGACGGTCATAATGTTTAGAAACGCACTAAGCTGTCGAGTTGATCGGAGAGGAATAAATATATTGAAAATGATTAAAAACACCACCCTCGTTTTTTCTACGCTTTCTATGCTAATAGTAAACAGCATATGGATAGGGATGCTGTTCAGAATGAAGCTCACACATACTTCTCCTTATCAGAATGCATAAGTAGAATGTCGCCCAGTGAAGGTAAATAGTTGAATGTTTAGAATTTTATATTTCTTTGCGAAAAGATTGCACTCCATTTTAAAAGAGTCGAATCCGATAAAAATAGCAAAAATGTAGTCAACGGTTAATTTTTAGATCGATTACAAAAACAATATCTACAGTCGATGGAAAGAATGATGGTAATATTGACAGGCATAGCAATCACAACTAATATGCATACATATGACGCAATTATGAGTAAAAAAATATCGAAGGGCTTATAATAGGTTTGTTCGTCGAGCAAAAAAATTTGTACGAATTTTTACAAGTTATAATGATTTTTTCCCAAATCGCGTTCGTGCAGACCAAAAAATTATCCATCACTCAAAAACTGAGAGCGCAAAGTGACAGTTCTTCTGAGAGAAGTTACAAAAAGAAAAATTTTAGCCAGCAAGAATTTGCAATCACGAAAAACACATGATTGTGGCACATGGTTGCATTTTTGTCTACGATAATTTGAATAAATAAGTTCGTTAAGTTTGAAAATTTATAAACATGAGCGATTTTTTTATAAAAAAAGGGAGTAAATACTTGTTGGTATAATTTATTTACTTAATTCCAATGATTTGAACTTAACTCGGCTGTGAAAAAATTCTATTCGCAATCGGAATGCAATTGCAACCAGAGTCGATTAAAGAAATCCGACAGCTAGTACGATAAAGAAATTGAAATGTATGTTAAGGAAGGTCAGAACAACTAGAAATGTACATGCATATCCGTTTTTTGTCCATCTGAAAGAATTTTAAAAATTCTATAAAAATTTATTATGTTTGAAATGCAACCGTGGACACCAGCTGGCAGGCAAGCTTGCAAATTCCTGCAAATTTGTGATCAAGCATAAATTTGCAGTTTCTCAATATGAGAGAGAATTTGACAGAATTTTTTCTTACTCTCTGATATTTTGAGTGTTGGATAATTCTGGCTGGATTTTCGACGAACAAACCTAATATTAATCAGTTTAACGAACACTATTCGTTTAAATATGTCGATCAAGTATCTACAGCGATAACAAATATATATAACATGACGAGTTTGTGTTAGAATTTTTCTAATAGAGGACGTAGAAAGTATTAAAAATATCGTTGGTGATACTGCAAAACGATCTACGTAAATTACTACCTTTTAATTGAGATGGTCTGTTACCTGCATTGAAGCAATCTACAAATCGTAACACTCTCATAAACTAATGACAAAAGATTCTCCCTTTGACTGTTGAAGAAGAAAAGCAGTACAGTAGTTTTATGCAGTATTGTTGCAGACGATACGCAAGCGTGAAATGGCCCTTCATAGATATGTAAAGCTAAAAATAGAAATTTTCACACTTTCGTGAAGTCATTTCGCAGCAAAAGCGGCCAAATCAGATGAATAGC